TCTGGTAATGGTAAATGTCAGAATGGATTTACGGACAAGGGATACCGCTGCTTGTGCCAGTCTGGATTTGTTGGGGAGAAATCTGAGAAAGGTTTGACAGCAGTTCAATGATAAGAAAAAAGAGGAAGTTGCTTTGAACAGAATAATATCTATATTTATTATATAGATACTGATGCGCGCAGTGAAGATACTTTTTTTCTCTTTCACGTGTTAGAATACTAGGGACCTTAAGAACCCACGACGGCAACGGCAACGAGGACGTGGAAAAACAATAGATCTAACTGGCAGAACAATAGCTCAGCACGTGCGTTTTGAAACTTTGTACATTTCTTAGCCGTCCTATGCAAAACAACAACGTGAAATCGCCAAAATTTGCGTCGTCTGCGAACCGAAACCGCGACAGCAAATTATTTTAATTTCCATTTGGAACTCAACAGCTACTTCTATACGTCATGCTGAGGTTGAGCTGTGGCGCTGTATGAGACAGTAAGCTCCTGAAGCCATTTTTTAAATTCTAACTAAGAGTAGAAATTCATTTTTTAATCGAAGTCTTCCTTGGCGTCGCCGTCGTGGTTTCTTAAGGTCCCTATTGGTGTCGCCATGGTTACTAACTTGATTAGCCAATTACAAGAGAGCTTCCGCTCAGGCGCACGGCCGGTTCTTTTGAAATTTTACGTTTTGGAACAGAAAATATAAGTATCATTGTCTTTATTTCTCCTTTCTAACAATATATCCGAGTTTCATAATTAACATTTTTGTGACAGGCATTTTCCGATAGGTGACAAATTTAATTGCACTATTTTGCTGTTTCGAAAATGAATAAAAAAAGTTGTGTTTTATGTGGAAATTTCATCAGTATCTATAAAATAAACAGAACATTACATGGCCGCTTGGAGATACGATGAATTTTATCTTCTGGTGCTGACAGTATCTCTCACTCTTTCACTTCGCTCACTCGTGAGAGATACTTACAGCACTCGAAAATAAAATTCGTATTCCCACGCGACCATATACTATCCTCTACATATTTGTTTCATCTTCAGGTGCTAAGTGCACGAGATATGTGTCAGTATGTAGGACTGCTAAACAGAAATTCAATGCACCACTCTCTAAACCCGGAACCATGTTTTCTGTATATCAGTGTTACTTTTTAGCACAACCCTGACAGACCCTGACATCTCCTCTTTTAACTCTAACTCCCCGTCCCTTTTCCGGTTATAGGGACTTTAAGCAGTCAGGGCGGCAACGCCACGGAAGACGTCGATTAAAAAATGAGTTTCTACATTTAGTTAGAATTTCGAAAATGGCTGCATGTGTTTACCGTCTCATAGGGCGCCAGACCTCAAACTCAACACAACGCATAAAAGTAGCGTTGAGTTCCAAATGTAAATTAAAATAATTTGCCGCCGCGGTTTCGGTTCGCAGAAGACGCAAATTTTGGTGATATCACGTTGTTGTTTTGCAAAGGAAGGCTAAGAAATATACGAAGTTTTCAAACGCACGTGCTGGGCTATTGTTCTGCAAATTAGATCTATTGGTTTTCCACGTTCTCGTTGCCGTCGCCGCCGTGGTTTGCTTAAATTCCCTAATCTTGCCTACATTCCATTTCTAACGCTTGATGGTTTTTATCAGGGAGCTGGCTTAAGGTAAATACCGCTCTTGTTTGTTTTGGAACACGTGGTGACGATTATGGATCATTCAGTACAGCAAAGGCTGGATCCATGTCCGCCTTGAAGCTTGTTCACACTTCAGGTATCGTAATATGCCATAGCTCCAGCACCAGATCGTTCTGGGGCTGTGAAGTGCCAGGTTATGGGGATAAGACTGATGACTTTCATTACTTTTATCAACCGCACTGTTATTTTGCCAACTGAGGAAGCAGCTGACATGGGCGTGCGCGCGACGGGTTGTGCACTACTGGATACACTTACCGCCTCTAAGGCTTTGATGACGTCTCCACAGAAATAATATTCAACATGAGGTCAAAGCCTTTTCCCGTTGAAATGAAGCAAGAGTTTCAAATTTGGTATGGCCAGCACTTCAGTGACTGCTGTGAAATCAACAACACCGGTCAAAGCTGCGTTAATAGGGACCTTAAGCAGCCATGACGGCAACGGCAACGAGGACGTGGAA